GACAGGTGTGAGCCGCCATGCCCAGCATTTTATTCTTGAGACAGTCTTACGCTGCTACCCAGGCTGGAATGCAGTGGCAAAATCTCAGCTCATTGCAACCTCCTGGGTCCAAGTGATTCTCCTGCCTCAGCCTCCCAAGTAGCTGGGATTATAGGCGCCTGCCATCACACTTGGCTAATTTTTATATTTTTAGTAGAGATGGGGTTTCACCATGTTGCCCAGGTAGGTCTCGAACTCCTGACCTCAAGTGATCCGCCCACCTTGGCCTCCCAAAGTTCTGGGATTACAGGCGTGAGCTACCACGCCTGGCCTATATGTGTTGATTTATTTAATCCTCATCACACCCCTATGAGGGATATACTATTATTATCCCATTTTATTTATTTATTTTTAACATATTGTCCAGGCTGGAGTGCAGTGGCAGGATCTCAGCTCACTGCAACCTCTGCCTGCTGGGTTCAAGTGATTCTCCTGCCTCAGTCTCCCCCGAGTAGCTGGGATTACAGGTGTGCACCACCACACCTGGCTAGTTTTTGTATTTTTAGTAGAGATGGGGTTTCACCATGTTGGCCAGGCTGGTCTTGAACTCCTCAAGTGATCCACCCACCTCAGCCTCCTAAAGCGCTGAGATTACAGGCATGAGCCACCATGCCTGGCCTATTATCCCATTTTAGAGATGAAGAAATAGAGGCACAGCAAGTAGCAAGATTGTCACACAGCTGCTAAATGGCTGAGCCAGGATTCCAACCCAACCAGTTTGGCTCAAGTCTGCACTTGAATGTTCTGCTGCCTCTGCGGCCTCAAGTCATCTGCCGAATGAATGGCTGATGTGTTTGTCTGTCTTTCACCTCCCTCGGATGTTTCTCCTCCCTGCCAGTGTGTAAGCTGCTGAGCACAGAGCTACAGGCAGAGCTGAGTCGAACTGGCCAATCTCGAGAGGTGCTGGAGCTGGGGCAGGTGCTGGACACAGGCAAGAGGAAGAAACATGTGCCTTACAGCGTGTCGTGAGTCCTCCTCCATGCTACTCCACCTTCCAACCCCCAAAGGAGCCCTGGGAGTCCCTAAAGCATCCAAGGAATCTTTGTTTGCCCTCTTTCCACAGAGAGACAAGGCTAGAAGAGGCCTTGGAGAATTTATGTGAGCGGATCCTGGACTACAGTGTTCATGCTGAGCGCAAGGGCTCACTGAGATATGCCAAGGTCAGACCCTTCCCCAGGGCAGGACCCCACTTCTCAGAAACAAATATCTGTATTCCCTGAGGTCCTCCAGAGGTTATCTGCCCATCATCTCACCATAATGGAACTCACCCCTCAATCTCCAGCAGTTGACAAAACTGAAATGGCAAAAAGGGGAAGGGAGGGTTGGGGTGGTGGGCTGGGCTGATACCAAATTCTTAATTTCTCAGGGTCAGAGTCAGACCATGGCAACGCTGAAAGGCCTAGTGCAGAAGGGGGTGAAGGTGGATCTGGGGATCCCTTTGGAGCTGTGGGATGAGCCCAGTGTGGAGGTCACATACCTCAAAAGGCAGGTAGGATAAGATACTGCACCATCCAGGGAGGTAAGAAGGGAACCTGAGAGGGGAGCTAGGTTAAGGTTTGACTGTAGGGGATGTCTACCTCTGAGCAGGGGGAAGCGGGGAGAGTGAGGACTGTGCCATTGATTAAAGTGGTTCCAGGAGCGGCCGGACATGGTGGCTCACACTTGTAATTCCAGCAATTTGGGAGGCTGAGGCAGGTGAATCACCTGAGGTCAGAAAGTTGAGACCACCCTGGCCAACATGGTGAAACCCCGTATCTACAAAAAATACAATAATTAGCCAGACATGCTGGTGCATGCCTGTAGGCCCAGCTACTAGGGAGGCTGAGACAGAATTGCTTGAACCCAGGGAAGTGGAGGTTGCAGTTAGCCAAGATCGCACCACTGCACTCCAGCCTGGGCGAAAAAAGAAATCATAATGAGCCAGATGTGATGACTTACAGCTGTAATGCTAGCACTTTGCGAGTCTGAGGTAGAAGGATTGCTTGAGACCAGAGTTTGAGACCAGCCTGTGCAACAAAAGAGACCCTTCTCTATAAAAAATAATAATAATTTTAAAATTTAAGGAAAATTTTAGAAGTAATCATGGTTGCTAATAGTATCCACAATCACTTATTGAGCACTTAGTGTGTCCCAGACTCCGGACCACATACTTTGCATCTGCTGCCTCATTTCACCTCACAACAACCTGAGGTGGTAGGTACAATTACCATACATACATTACAGGCAAGGAGCTGAAACTCAAGAGTTTAATAACCTACTTGGCAGAGTAGGTGCTGCTAAATGTTTGTTGAATGAATGAGGATCACACATCCAGTTGGCCAAGCTTAGCGTCCTGACTACCTGCCTCTCCAAAATCAGTCAGGTTGAGCAGCTAGAACAGGGAATGGAGAGCAGACAGGAGGGATTCCAAATCCGTCCAGAGCAGATTCTCTTATGGCCCTTCTACTTGCCCAGTGTGAGACCATGCTGGAGGAGTTTGAAGATGTTGTGGGAGACTGGTACTTCCGCCATCAGGAGCAGCCCCTACAAAATTTTCTCTGTGAAGGTCATGTGCTCTCAGCTGCTGAAACTGGTAAGCCTGGGGGTTGAGCTCCTCTCCTGCCAAGCCACAGCCTCCCCTGCCTCCAGGACTAATACCTAAATTGTTTTCCCTCATCCAATCTAGCATGTCTACAGGAAACATGGACTGGAAAGGAGATCACAGATGAGGAAGAGAAAACAGAAGGGGAAGAAGAGGAAGAGGAGGAAGAGGAAGGGGGAGACAAGATGACCAAGACAAGAGGCCACCCCAAACATGACCGAGAAGAGCTTTGACCCTTGCCTTTGAGCCCCCAAGAGGGGAAGGGATCATGGAGAGCCCTCTGAAGTCTGCGCTCTCCCAGCTCACAGCTTTCAGGGTATGTTTGTGAGTGACTCCACCCAAGCTTGTAGCCGTTTTCTCCAATCTAACCTCAGGCAAGATCCTGGTGAAGCAGCACAGCAAGGATGGAGGGTGGGGGTGGAGGCCCTGCACTTATAGATGAACTCCATTCAGCCCCTTAATTGGCAGTTGTGTGTGCTGACAGTACTGAAAGCTTTTCCCTTTAACTGCTCCCCACCCCAACCCAGAGGTCACCAGTAGCACTGGAGATGTGGGCTTTAGGAAAGTCACTTAACTCCATAAGGTCTGTTTTTAGACCCTTCCAAGGAAGAGGCCAGAACAGACATTCTCTACAACCTATATATATATTGCCTGCATCCAGGAGGCTACACACCAGCAAACTGCGAAGGAGAAATGGGACACTGGGTGATGGCCTGGAGTTGCCGATAAGTTAGGTGGGGTAGATACTTGGTCTACTTCAGATCAGTGTCACTGAGAGCTTACCATATAGTTTCATAGGTGCTAAATTTTCTATATCGCTATTAAATTTTTTTTTTCCCTAAAAACTACCTGGACCCAAAGTTTCAAACAACAGCAGGGCACACATTATAGCTAGCTGGTCGATGAGGCAGCACCCAGAATGGCCACTGTCTTGTTAAGCTCAAGCTCCAGCCTGGGCAACACAGTGAAACTCCATCTCTATAAATATGCACACCCACACGCACACGCACACACACACACCCCTCAAAAAAAGCTGCAGGCGCAGTGGCTCATGCCTGTAATCCCAGCACTTTGGGAGGCTGAAGCGAGCAGATCACCTGAGGTTGGGAGTTCAAGACGAGCCGACCAACATGAAACCCTTCTCTACTAAAAATACAAAAAATTAAAAAGTTAGCCGGGCGTGGTGGTGCATGTACCCGTAATCCCAGCTACTTGGGAGGCTGAGGCAGGAGAATCACTTGAACCTGGGAGGTGGAAGTTGCGGTGAGCCGAGATCGCGCCATTGCACTACAGCCTAGGCGACAAGAGCAAGACTCCTGTCTCAAAAAAAACAAAACAAAACTAGAAGGGTGTGCATGTCTGTATTCCCATTACTTTGGGAATCTGAAGTGGGAGGATTGCTTGAACTCAGGGGTTCAAGGCTGGGGCAAGCTATGATGGAGCCCCTGCACTCCAGCCTGGGGGACAGGGCAAGACTTTGTCTCAAAAGAAAAAAAATAACAGACGCAGTGGCTCACATATGTAATCCCAGCACTTTGGGAGACCAAGGCTGGAGAATCGTTGGAACCCAGGAGTTTCAGACCAGTCCTGGCAACAGTCTCTACAAAAAAAAGAGAGAGAGAAAGAGAAGAAAAGAAAGAAAGAAAAAAGGAAGTAAAGAAGAAAAAAGAGAAAGAATAAATATAAAGCTTAGCTGGGCTTGGTGGTGTGCGCTTGTGGTCCCAGCTACTTAGGAGGCTGAGGCGAGAGGATCACGAGCCCAGGAGGTCGAAGGTGCAGTGAGTTCCGATTGTGTCACTGCACTCCAGCCTGGGCAACAAAGTGAGACTCTACCTCAGAGCTAATGGCGCTTCATAATTGTGAGCCCAAGGAAGCTGCTGGGGTCGCGGGGCGGGGAACCGCCAGGGGGCTGGAGTCCAGGCAGCCTCCTCCGGCATACAGTGAAGAAGGCGCTGGAATTACAGCCAACGCCACGGCGCCACTTCGGCCGCCATAGCTGGGCGCACGGAAGCTCGCAGAAGACAAACTACCACGCGCGTTTTCGATTTCTGCGCTTTCCTCGAGCGAGGCAAGACTAGCAGAGGCCCAACGTAGAGCGCGGCTAGGGTTCGAGTGAGGGAAATACAAAGGATAGCCTTTGGAGGGTGACAGGAGAGGACCTACCGCGAGAGGAAGGGGGCCGGGGCCGAGGACGCAAAGGGAGGGGCGGGCCCACGTGGGAAAGGAGGCTGGGCGATACCATTTTGGGCAGGGGTCGAGGGTGATACCAACTTAATGAGAACTAAGGCTTAGAGGTAGTGGTGGGGCCGGGCGCGGATGGAGGACAGCGGAGGAACAGCACGGTCGCCCACTGCTTCATTTCCTTTCTCCTGAGCCCGTCCCTCCCTGCCAGGAGCAGCCTCATGCGGACCGAGCCGCTGCGCGGGGCGTCCCCTCTGCTGGTGCCCGGCGACCCCTACTCCGTGGTGGTTCTGCTGCAGGGCTACGCGGAGCCCGAGGGGGTGGACGACGCCGTGCGCGCCGACGGCTCCGTGACCCTTGTCCTGCCCCAGACCTGGGGTCCGGCATCCAGCCATGGAGAGTCCCCGCGCGGGGGTGGCGGCGCGGAGGCCGCCCTGGAGGAGGCGGCCCGTGGCCCCATCCTGGTGGACACAGGGGGCCCCTGGGCTCGGGAGGCGCTACTGGGGGCGCTGGCGGGGCAGGGCGTGGCCCCGGAAGACGTGACACTGGTGGTGGGGACCCACGGGCACTCGGATCACATCGGGAATTTGGGGCTGTTCCCAGGCGCGGCTCTGCTGGTCTCGCACGATTTCTGCCTCCCTGGAGGCCGCTACCTGCCCCACGGGCTTGGTGAGGGGCGGCCCTTGCGCCTGGGCCCGGGGCTCGAGGTGTGGGCCACGCCGGGCCACGGGGGCCATCGCGACGTGAGCGTGGTGGTGGCTGGCACGGCTCTGGGCACCGTGGTGGTGGCAGGGGATGTGTTTGAGCGAGATGGGGACGAGGATTCGTGGCAGGCGCTGAGTGAAGACCCCGCAGCCCAGGAGCGGAGCCGGAAGAGGGTCCTGGTCGCTGCTGACGTGGTCGTACCTGGTCACGGGCCCCCCTTTCGAGTGCTCAGGGAAGCCTCCCAGCCCGAGACTGAGGGTGAAGGAAACAGCCAGCAGGAGCCAGTGGTCGGAGACGAGGAACCCTCTCTGCACTGATCAGCGCCGAGAGAGACTGGCTTCTTGACGGGGAAGCCCTTCAGCGAGGAGCTGCTGGAGACAGAGGACGCGGTCGGCCAGTCAGAGCAGTCAAGGGTGGTAGCTTCCAGCCCTTCCAAGAGGCCAGGTTTCTAGTGAGGACAGAGTGCACTTGACACTGCCATCACGTCGTCAAAGACACTACCTGTCTCTGCAACCAAACTAAGATCAAAGGACGGGCTCAGCCCCTGTGCATCCTCCCTGGGCCTCAGTAAAATGGGAGAGGGTTCCTCCAAAGGGCCTCCAAAATAAAAATGGAAACTGCATGGAAAATCATAGTGCCCTAGTGTAAATGTGAAGTATTGATAATTGTGCAAACATAGTAATTGCCAACTTCAGCAAGGGGCACACCTTAGCCAATTGCCTGCCTCTTTCTTTCTTTTTTTTTTTGTTCTCAGAAGAATCTTCCTTCCTTCCTTCCTTTCTTTTCTTTCCTTTTTTCTGAGTCTCGCTCTTGGGACTCATAGGCATCCACAAAGGCCTTCGGATCCCCAGGGGCACTCAGGTGGGGCAGGTGAAGGAAAGGAGCAAGTCCGCCTCGTTGTGGACAATGAGCAGGCCTGGGTGGATGCTGTCTGGCATGGCCAGGCTGGAGGTCATTTCCCAGGCATCCATCTCCCGGGTTCAAGCGATTCTCCTGCCTCAGCATTTTTTTTTTTTTTAGTGGAGACAGGGTTTTGCCATGTTGACCAGGCTGGTCTTGAACTCCTGACCTCAGGTGATCCATCCGCATTGAGCCACCATACCCAGCCTATTATTCCTTTTCAAAAATAAGAAAAAACTGAAATGATGAGTGGTTAAGTGACTTCACCTTAAATCATCAGAGATGACATAAATAGTAATTGGTGGCTGGGCGAGGTAGCTCATGCCTGTAATCCCAGAGCTTTGGGAGGCTGCAGAGGAGGATTGCTTGAGGTCAGGAATTTGAGACAAGCCTGGGCAACAGCGAGATCCCATCTCTAAAAAAAAATTAGTTGGGCTTGGTGGACCCCGCCTGCAGTCCCAACTATTTGGGAGGCTAAGGCAGGAGATCACTTGAGCTTAGTAGTTGGAGGCTACAGTGAACCGTGATTGCACCACTGCACTCCAGCATGGGCAACAGATCAAGACCCTGAAAGTTATTGGCAAAAAGTAACTGGCAGAGCAGAGATTCCAACTCAGGCAATCTCGCTGCAGAGGTGGACTTGACCTCTACGTGGCATTCTGAGGCAGCCCCTGCACTGAATAATAGACTGATTCCCAATCGACTGACGCAAAAGGGTTACGTGATTCTTCTCTTTTTTTTGAGTTGAGGTTTCGCTCTTCTTGCCCAGGCTGGAGTGCAGTGGCGTGATCTCGGCTCACTGCAACCTCCATCTCCCAGTTTCTTTTTTTTTTTTTTTAGAGATGGGATCTTGCTATGTTGCCCAGGCTGGAGTGCAGTGGCTATTCACAGGCGCGATCCCACTACTGATCAGCACGGGAGTTTTGACCTGCTCCGTTTCTGACCTGGGCCGGTTCACCCCTCCTTAGGCAACCTGGTGGTCCCCTGCTCCCGGTAGGTCACCATATTGATACCGAACTTTGTGTGGACACCCAATCGGCATAGTGCACTACAGCCCAGAACTCCTGGGCTCAAGAGATCCTCCAGCCTCCGCCTCCCAAGTAGCTGGGACTACAGGCACGTGCCACCACACCCAGCCAGCTCCCAGTTTCAAGAGATTCTCCTGCCTCAGCCTCCCAAGTAGCTGGAATTATAGGCTTGCGCCACAATACCCAGTTAATTTTGTATTTTTAATAGAGACAGTGTTTCTCCATGTTTGTCAGGCTGGTCTTGAATTCCCAACCTCAGGTGATTTGCCTTCCTCGGCCTCCCAAAATGCTGGGATTATACACATGAGCCACCATGCCTGGCTAGTTTATTTTTTATAGAGATGGGGTCTCACTATGTTGCCCGGGCTCAAGTGATTCTCTTGCTTCGGCCTCTCAAAGTGCTGGGATTACAGGTGTGAGCCAACCTGCCCAGACTGGAAAAAAGTTTTGGTTCACCAAACATAGTCCTTCTCTCACTGGCAGGTCTCTGGCAGGTGTTCCGCTTGTCTTATATGGCCTCTGACCCAAAGCCTAGTGTCTAAGCCACCGCCATACACATCTGCAGGTCCCCTCTCTTGTTTAAAACTATTTGTCTGTGGCTAGGCGTGCTGGCTCATGCCTATAATCCCAGCACATTAGGAAGATGAGGCAGGTGGATCACTTGATGTCAGGAGTTTGAGACCAGCCTGACCAACATGGTGAAACCCTGTCTCTACTGAAAATAAAAAATTAGCTGGGCGTAGTGGCACGCGCCTGTAATCCCAGTTACTTGGGAGACTGAGGCAGGAGAATCACTTGAATCCGGGAGGTTGAGGTTGCAGAGAGCCGATTGTGTCCCTGGATACTAGCCTGGACGATAGAGGGAGACTCCATCTAAACAAAAAACAAAACAAAACAAAAAAACAACCCCAAAACTATATGTCTGTGGGTTTTGGTAAATCCTGCAGAGAATAACTCCATCTGTCTCCTGGTCCTCATTGATGCACCTGCACATCCTCCCCTTGCCACCAGAGGGGAGTCTAGGCCTGCCTCTAATTCCCTGGTCTCCAGCCCTCCCCATCCCTGACAAACCCTTCCTTCTCTGGGCCTAAATCCCCCTTTTCCCTCTTATCTCCACTGTTGCCAACCCTGCCTCCACCATCTCCATCCTAGACGTAGAACAAGGAGCTTGTTTGCACACAGAAGAAAGAGACAGAGGCGCTGTCTCTTTAGGGAGTAGCTAATGAAATTGGATCCCTGAGGTCCTGGGGATTTTTTGCACAATGGGCCAAAAAGAGAGAGAGATGCCAGAGAAGATGGACAGACCACAAAGGGAAAAGCCGCATAAATGCACAGATCAAAGGGAGAGTTGGGAAAGTGTTACCTGTGGGTGGGAGACCCCGTGGGAGACCCCGCAAGTGCCGAGCAAGGATCTGAAGTCTCAGCCTATTCCCATATGAATACAGAACTAGAAAAGAATTAGAGATATAGTTACATAGTTATTCCTATATATAATCATGAGTAATCATATAGTTAATTGTATATAATCACAGAAATATATATACTCATGGTGACCTTTTAATCTTACTATTATCGGGTTATGGAGCATGGAACTGAGGTGACATTGTGAACAAAGTGATCCTAAGGCAAAATGTTCTAAGCCCTTTGCCATGCCTGCATAAAGGCTGCTGGAGGGCACCTCGGCTGTGAGGCAGTACCAGCGCTGGGAAAGCACCCACTGTTTAGCCAGCTAGGGAAGGAGACGTCCAAGACATCTGAGACTTCCCCTTCCTCAAGGGTGTTAGGAGAAAACTCCGCTTCTCCAAGCTCTTATGGTAGGCCTGATGGCTGTCAGGGAAACCCATGGACATCCGGGGTGCTTAATTGTCTCTATGTGATGCTGAGCTTCAGTGGTCATGTTCCATGTCTACCTTAGTGTTCTCCTTCTGCACCTGCTCCCTCCTTTTCTTAAAAGATAAAATCAGTAATAGTAACATATTTTTTTTTTTTTTTTTTTTTTAAGACAGAGTCTTGCTCCGTTGCCAGGCTGGAGTGCAGTGGCACAATCTCGGCTCACTGCAACCTCCGCCTCCTGGGTTCAAGCGATTCTTCCGCCTCAGCCTCCCAAGTAGCTGGGACCACAGTTGCGTGCCACCACACCCAGCTAATTTTTTATAGTTTTAGTAGAGATGGGGTTTCACCATGTTGGCCAGGATGGTCTCGATCTCTTGACCTCATGATCTGCCTGCCTCGGCCTCCCAAAGTGCTGGGACTATAGGCGTGAGCCACCGCGCATGACAGTAACATAGATCTTAATGTCTTTGTTCTTTCTTGACAAGTATGAAAAAGCTGACGCATTAGGTTTTCTCCTCACCTCAGCTACTTGAAAGACCTGGGCCCCTATCTCCAAGACATATGATTGACCAGATCCTATCACTGACCACCATTACCTCAACCTACCCACCATGCCCCCTGCTTTGTACTCAATAAAAGTCAGAGTGTCCAGTCACTCGGGGCCAATGCCAGAGTCCACGCTTTGGCTGGCAGTGGACCCTTGGGCCCAAACTCCGTTTTCTCTTTCTCGGTGTCTTGTGTCTTTTATTTCCACAGTTCCTCATCTCCACACCTGTAGAGAGGGGCTCACAGGACCCTGCAGGGCTGGACCCTACATTACCAGATGGTACAATGGTGAAATTCCAGGCTCTGGGTATCCCGAGCAAACAACTGGACAGACACACACATACAGCAAAGCAGCAAAACTGTATTAAGCATAGTATTCCACTCTCAGAAGGCACAGAAGACTGACCTCTGCCAGATGAGATCAGCATTAATTTGGTGTACTTTGTTTTTGTTTTTTTTTAGATGGACTCTCTCTGTATCGCCGAGGCTGGAGTGCTTTGGCCCAATTTCAGCTCACTGCAACCTCCGCCTCCCAGGTTCAGTGATTTTTCTGCCTCAGTCTCCTGAGTAGCTTGGATTATAGGCACATGCCACCACACCTGCCTAATTTTTGTATTTTTAGTAGAGATGGGGTTTCATCATGTTGGCCAGGCTGGGCTCGAACTCCAGACCTCAAATGATCTGCCTGCCTCAGCCTCCCAACGTGCTGAGATAAGAGGCATGAACCATTGTGACCGGCCAAACCTCTGCCTCTTACCTTGCTTCTTGCTCACCCACACCTTCACCTTGCTTTATTTTTTGTCTTTTTTGTATTCCTTTTGTTCACCTTGCTTTAAAACAAAGCACCTTGCTCTCTGCTTTTACTTATTCTGCCCTTTAAGCAACTTTTAATTCCCTTTGCTATTCTCCTGCCTTATTTTCCCTATTTTCCTGCCACAAAAGGAGTGGGTGGGTTCCAGCTCTCTCTCTAGCCCCCAGCAAAACTCCAAGTCTCCAGTAAGCATGAGCCTAAGTTGGTCCTGCCTCATGGGAAACATATCCACATGGTTTGAAATTGCAGGACAAACAAAGGCTCAGCAGTTCCTCCCAGGGAAGGAAGTTAGTCAAGATGCAGTGGCTCACACCTGTAATTCCAGCACTTTGGGAGGCTGAGGCAGGAGGACTGCTTAACCTAGGAATTAAGATAAGCCTGGGCAACATAGTGAGACCTTGTCTCTACAAAAAATAAAAAATTAGCTGGGCATAGTGGTGCACACCTGCAGTCCCAGCTACTGGGCAGGCTGAGGCAAGATCGCTTGAGCCTAGGAGGCAGAGGT